GAACTACAATATCTAAAGAATTTCTGGGACTTCCCTGGTTGTGCAGTGGTTAAGAATCTGCCTGCCAATGCAGGGGACATGGGTTCAAGCCCTGGTCCGGGAAGATCCCACATGCCATGGAGCAAATAAGCCCATGCACCACAACTACTGAGCCTGTGCTCTAGAGCCCGCGAGCCACAACTACTGAGCCTGTGTGCCACAACTACTGAAGCCCACACACCTAGAGCCCGTGCTCCACAACAAGAGAAGCCACCACAATGAGAAGCCCACGCACCACAATGAAGAGTAACCCCCGCTCTCCACACATAAAGAAAGCCTAAGCACAACAATGAAGACCCAGCAGAGACAAAAAATTTTTTAAAAATTATATAAAATAAAAAAACAGAAGAAAACCATTAAGAAAATAAAAGAAGCTCTTAAAAAATCAGTATAAATAAGAATTAGAAAAATTCAGAAATGTGATAATTGGAAAAAAATAAGATTTTAAAAAGTAAGCTTACAAAACTCAGGAAAAAGAATAAACTAAAAGTTATTTCTGAAATGAAAAGTAAACTAGAATGGGGGCTTCCTTGGTGGTGCAGTGGTTAGGAATCCTCCTGTCAATGCAGGGGACATGGGTTCGATCCCTGGTCCAGGAAGATCCCACATACTGTGGAAAAACTGAGCCCGTGTGCCACAACTACTGAGCCTGCACTCTAGAGCCCACAAGCCACAACTACTGAGCCCATGCCATGACTACTGAAGCCCGCGTTCCTAGAGCCCATTCTCCACAACAAGAGAAGCCACTGCAATGAGAAGCCTGTGCACTGCAGTGAAGAGTAGCCCCCACTCTCTGCAACTAGAGAAAGCCTGCACGCAGCAATGAAGACCCAATTCATCCAAAAAATAAATAAATGAATAAAAATCTAAAAAGAAAAATTTAACAGAGCCTCAGGGACCTATGGGATTCTAACAAAAGATCTAACATTCTTGTCATCATAGTCCTGGAGAAAAAGGTAAAAGAGATGAAAAAGTACTTGAATGGCTGAACACTACCCAAATTTAGCAAACCCCAAACAGGATAAAGGCAAAGAAATCCACTTCAAGACACCTCATAGTCAAACTTCTGAAACTAAAGACAAAGAGTAGAATTGCAAAAGCAGTGAGAAAGAAATGACACCTTACCTATCAGAGAAAAACAATTCGAATGATAATAGATTTCTCCTCAGAAACTGTGGAAGCCATAAAGAAGTGGCACATTTTTTTATGTGCTGAAAGAAAATAACTGTCAAGCCAGAATCCTGGGACTTTCCTGGTGGTCCAGTGGCTAAGATGCCACTCTCCCAATGCAGGGGGCCCGGTTTTGATCCCTGGTTAGGGAACTAGATCCCACATGCTGCAACTAAAAGTTCACATGCTGCAACTAAAAGAGCCCACATGATGCAATTGAAAGAGCCCGCGGGACTTCCCTTGTGGTGCAGTGGTTAAGAATCTCCCTGCCAATGCAGGGGACACGGGCTCAAGCCCTGGTCCAGGAAGATCCCACATGCCACGGAGCAACTAAGCCCATGCACCACAACTACTGAGCCTGTGCTCTAGAGCCCATGAGCCACAACTACTGAGCCCGTGTGCCACAACTACTGCAGCCCGCATGCCAGAGCCCATGGTCTTCAACAAGAGAAGCCACCACAGTGAGATGCCCGCGCACCACAACGAAGAGTGGCCCCTGTTCTCCACAACTAGAGAAAGCCCGCATTCAACAGCAAAGACACAATGCAGCCCAAAATAAATAAATAAATAAATGTAAAAAAATAAGAGTTTGAATACCACAACTAAAAGAGCCCGTATGCTGCAAAGATCCTGCATGCTGCAACAAAGGTCCCGTGTGTCGCAACTAAGACCCAGCGCAGCCAAATAAGTAAATGTTTTTTTTAAAAAAAGCTGTAATCCTGTATTCAGCAAAAATAACCTTCAGGAATGAAGGGGAAATCAAGATATCGATATTTTCAGATGAAGGAAAACTTAGGGAATTTGTCACCAGAAAAACTATGTTAAAAGGATGGCTAAAGAAGTTATTAAAATATAAAGGAAATGATAAAAGAAGGAATTTTAGACTATCTGGAAGGAGGAAAAAACAATGGAAAGATGAAAATATGGGGGGACTTCCTTGGTTGTCCAGTGGTTAAGATTCCACGCTCCCAGTGCAGGGGGCACGGGTTCAGTCCCTGATCAGGGAACTAAGATCCTGCATGCTGCACAGCGCAGCCAAAAAATTTTTTTAAATGAGATTTTTAAAAAAGATGAAAATATGGGTAAATATAATAGGCTTTATGGGTCTTCTTGAGTTTTCCAAGTTGTTTTTGAATAATACTGATGTGGTTCTCAAAGTATGTAGAAAACATAGTTAAGACAATTATATTATAAATGAGAGAAGATAAAGGGACTTAAGGTAGGTACACTTTCTATACTTCACTTGAACTGGTAAAATGTCAACACCAGTAAACTTTGATGTGTATGTATAATGTACCTAGAATAAGGAACAAGTAATCCTTAGGAAGATAGTAAAAAACAAAAAACAGAGATATGAAGGACAGAGGGAACAAAAAGAAGACAGAAAGTTAAGTGGCAGATTTAAGCCCTAACATTATTGATAATTACATTAAATGTGAATGGTCTAAATACAACAATTAAAGGACAAAGATTGATGGCCTGAATTTAAAAAGTGACCCAACTATATCTTGTCACTTCAAATATAACAGTATAGGTAGGTTGAAAATAAAAGGATGGAAAAAGATATACTAGGCAAACATTAACCAAAAGAAATCAAGAGTGGCTATATTAATATCAGATAAAGTAGATCTCAGAGCAAGAAATTTGTCAAGAACAGAGAATGATATTACATAATGATAAAAGAGTCAATCTTAAATATGTATGCACCAATCAACAGAGTTGCAAAATATGTGAAGCAAAAACTAATAGAACTGAAAGGAGAAATAGATAAATTAAAATTACAGTTGTAGACTTCAATACGCATCTCTCAACAGGTGATAAAACAAGTAGCCATAAAGTCAGAAAAGATACAGAACTCCACAGCACCATCAACCAACAGGATCTAATCATCATTTATAGAACAATGCACCCAGCAACAGCAGAATATACATTCTTTTCAATCACCAAAAAACCCACATTTACCAAGATAGATCATATTCTGAGGATCACAAAACCTCAACAAATGTAAAAAAAATTGAAATCATACAGAGTATGTTCTCTGACCACAGTGGACTCAAACTAGAAATCAGTAACAGAAAGATAACAGGAAAATCTCCAAACACTTGGAAACTAAACAATACACTTATAAATAAAATGAGGACGTTTCAAAGAAATTTTTAAAAATACATCAAGCTCAGTGAAAATGAAATGTTCTGGCAACCCATTCCATAATCAGGTAATTACAAGGAGTAACTTTTATTAAAAGTCAAAAAAGAATTTTAAAAAATCACAGTTTATTTCTGAATTTGAATTGTTGTAAGAACATTTTATTGATTCCAGTTGCTGCTGCTGCTCTTGAGCAGTTTCTTAGAATAGTCAATGGAATTGACAGGTTAGCAATTTTACTGAAAGAAGGCAAGAAAAAATTAATGAAATAAACATATAATTTATTGTATTACTTCTCTGAACATCACTGACCCATCAAGAGTATACTCAGACATGAGCAAGAGTAATAAAATTCTATCAGGTCTGATATTTTGCCAACTTTCAGTCATATAAAAAAAACTTTTCACTTTTTTTTTTTTTTTTTTTTTTTGCGGTACGCGGGCCTTGCGGCCTCTCCCGTTTCGGAGCACAGGCTCCGGACGCACAGGCTCAGCAGCCATGGCTCACGGGCCCAGCCGCTCCGCGGCACATGGGATCCTCCCGGACAGGGGCACGAACCCGCGTCCCCTGCATCGGCAGGCGGACCCCCAACCACTGCGCCACCAGGGAAGCCCTTTACACGTATTTTTCATTTTTATTATGAAAGTGTATTTGTGGAAATAAGAAGTGAACATATTTTAACAAATTGTAACTTGATTTATATCTTTTAAATATTTAGATACCCAGTATGTCTGTTTTTCATTTCTTCTCTTGCCCTGGGCCCAGCAGATGTTAGGGGTGGGCCTGATCCTAACCTCCTTGACCCTCAGACCCTCAGCTTCCTTTTCCGGAAAAGGACAATAACACTCCTGAGCTCACGAATTCGGATGAACTAGGCACCTGAGCAAATATGGCTAATGTAAGTTCCCTCACTCTCCTGAGGAGGAATTCATGTTCTAGGAGTGTTTTGGAGTCTTTGTTTTGTTTTTCTTTCTTTAAAATTTTATTTTTATTTTTTGGGGTATGCACGGGAGTCTCGTGGGTAAGGAAGTGGTTGAAAACACCGAAGGGAGAGTTGTGTGATAGGGCGGGGTGGGATCGGCTCCGAGTAACTGGCTTTGGTAGTGGGAATGGAGAAGAGGAATCCCCATCCGCCCCCGCAGGAAACGCTCCAGTGATTGGAGGTGTGTGTGCTTGTGTGTGCCGGTGTGTGAGGAGAGGGTTAGCTCTGACTCCCGCAGACATCACCACGCATGACGAAGCTACTTCCCCTCACGCGGTCCAAGGCGCACACGCGCGATCCACGGCCACGCCTGCACACACTCGACACACACAGGGTAACCGAGGGTCCGGTTGCCATGGCGAGCAGGAGCGCGAGAGCCCTGCCGCCCCGCCCGCCCCCGGCCGAGCCCGGTCAACTCCATCTCTGATTGGCCGCTGCTTCCTCATTATGCAAATCATTTGCGTAGACCCGGCGGCCAGCTGCCTTACGTCATCAAACACGGGGGCTGGGGCTCGGGGCTCAGCTCCGGGAGAGCTCGGGCGGGAGCCCAGAGAGCGAGGCGCGGGGACCTGAAGCTAGACCCCAGCATCCCGCCGCTTCGGCCCGGGCCTGCCCCGCCCCCTGCCCCGCCCTTTTCCAGCCCGCCCCACCCTTTCTACGCCCCTCCATCCGGACCCCGCCCCCGGTACAGCCCCCCGCCCTCGCTGCCTGTGTCCCGCCCCCTCCCCCCCTGGCTCTCGCCACCGGTCCAGGGAGGGGACGGCGGGACAGGCGGGACCGGCGGGAGGGCGGACCGGGCGGGGATATGGCCGCGGCGCCCGGTGGGTCTGCGCCGCCCGCCGGCCCCGGCCCGCGCCTGGGTTTCAGCACCGCGGACAGCGGCGTCGGCATGAGCGGGCTAAACCCGGGTCCTGCCGTGCCCATGAAGGACCACGACGCCATCAAGCTCTTCGTGGGGCAGATCCCGAGGGGCTTGGACGAGCAGGACCTCAAGCCGCTGTTCGAGGAGTTCGGCCGCATCTACGAGCTGACGGTGCTGAAGGACCGGCTCACCGGCCTCCACAAAGGTGCGCGGGGTCAGCCCAGCCCAGCCCAGCCCAGCCCAGCCCTGCCCAGCCCTGCCCAGCCCTGCCCAGCCCCATTCCGATTAGAGTGCGGCCCAGCCCAAATCCCAGCCTCAACCCCAGCCCCAACCCTAGCTCTATCTAGAGCCAGTCCAACACCAGTCTAATACCAGCCCACTTCAGCCCAGTCTTCTTCCCAGATCACAGAACCCCCAACCCAGAATTTTCTCTCTGACATCCTCCCTCTGATCATCACTCTGGTCCCGACATGTACTCCACTCTAACCTCCAACTCCCTTCCCTTCACGTCTCACATTGCAACACTCCTCGCCTTTCAGCTGGACTTCCCTCTATCTCTCCCATCAGACATCTCAAATCCTGGAATTTGGAAACTTATTCCACCTTCTAGGTCTCTGACACCTTCAATCTCCCAAACCCTGGACCCAATCATTCCTGAACCACCATCCCTCCACCCCCATCTGGGGCCACCCCACTCAGGCCTAACCACCTTCACACACATTTTGGGCTTGCACCCCTCATTCTGGCCTCCAAGACCAGTCAACCCCCAGAACCTTCTTTTGATTCACACTGCCAACCTAAAATCTCACAGACACAAACTCTCCGCTTCTTCAGAACCCATGCCTGTCTAAGTCACAAAATCCAATTCCCCTCCCAGGAGGCTCTCAGCACCAAATTCCGCCTTCATGCTTAACAATAGCCCCAATCTCTCCTACTCCCATCCAGAATCCCACCACTGTCTTCCTTTTCTGATTTGAGTCCAGAACTCTGATCTCAGCTGGGAACTCTAGCCACCTTGTGCCCCCTCATCTCAGGCTTCTTCTCAGCTGAAGCTACGCTTCTTTTACCCTCTAATCTTCCCACTCCTGTGACACATATTTGTCCCCTCCCAATCCTCTTTATGGCCTCCTGCTTTCCCTCCCTCACAGGGTGGTCCTGGACCAGAGCCTGTGGACCAGAGCCTCAGGGTGGGTCAGGTTGAAGAGGCAGAAAGGGGTCTTCTCCCTGCCCTAGCTAGAGAGAGACGCACCAGGTCCTATCCAGCCACACCCCTTTCCTCCTGTAGGAATAGGGAGGAGGCTTGTTTACATGCAGAAAAGTCTGTCCAGGCTGGGCTGGAGTAAGAGAGCCAGAGACACATTCATACATGGGCAGGGGAAGGAAATTATTTGAGAAGAAACACCTTTTTCTCTCCCCACCTTCACCATGCTGCAGTTTCAGGGTTTGGGGAGTGGGGGAGGGTCCCCAACTATCCTCCGTGATCTTTCCAGGAGAGAAGTGGTGGGTCCTGGGTAACAGTTAAATGTACTTTCCTAAGGGCTAAGAGCTGGAAACAGGCTGCCACCTTTTCAACTCAGAGGCTTTGGAGAGTTCCTAGGCACACTAACATAGAGGCTCCAGGAAAATGCCCATAGAAGATTGGGGAGCAGCTATGAAGCAGTGCATCTTCCACCCTCCTGGGTGGGGTCATTTTTAGAGGGGCATGAAATGACAAGAGCATACCATCCAGATTCCTTCTAACACAGTCCAGCTGCCCAGCTGTACATCCATCCATAGCAATTTATTTTCTTATTTTCTAGACATTTATTTCAGTATGTAAGTACAAGCTAATCTTTCTGAGCCATCTGTACAGTAAGGGAAGTGTATAGAATACCTTTAATTCTCACTCAAACACCATCGGAGTCTCTGAACTGTTCCCTCACCCTTTCTCTCTTTCTCTCTACACTTAGTTCCAATTCTTCCTGTTTTTTTTTCATTCATCTGTCCTTCAAGCCATGCGTCTCTGTCTTTTTATCCCTCATTCTTCCACTCCCTTTCCCAGGTAGTCACACAGGGCTCCTTTAGGCATCAGCTAGGCCCTCGAGCCTTTCTGAGAGGCCCCCAGCCCTGCCCAGTTCTGACATCAGCTAATACGGCTTGGTGGCAGTAGATGGAACAGAGATGTAAGCGGAATCAGGTGTTTGGTGATTTATCCCCAAACCAACCCACAGCTCTTGAAGGCAGGGTTGCCTTGCAAGATCACTGAGGAGGGTCTCCAAGTCAACATATTCTCCACCTTCTCCCCAGCAACAGTGATGTCCAAAAGCCAGAGTGACTTGTTTTCTTTTTGATGGCTGAGTACCACGGGGGGCAGCCACAGTGCTTTTAAAACAAGCTCAGCCTAGGAGTTTGGAGATTCCAAACCCTATCCTGCCACTTGTATACTCTCTGGGCTTCAGTTTCCCTATTGATATGATAAGAGTTTGTCCCAGGAGTTCTCTAAGGTCACTTTAACCCAATGAATGGCAGATATCCACCCACCTTAAGAGGGCAACCACATAGGAGACATTGGAGAAAATGTTCCCATTTGCCTTTGAAGTCTGCTGAGGTCTAAGTGGAAAACTGCACCACACTCCTAATGGCTTCCCACATCCACTTTCTCTTCCTTCAGTCTTTCTCCTTCCTACACTCAGAAGGCTGTTTTTGAAAACACAGACCTAATGTCACAACCCTTTAGTGGCTCTCCACTGTTCTTAGGAAAAAGTTCAAAATCCAGACTGAGGTTATAGATGAGCTGATCCCTGCACACCCCACTGGCCACTCTGCCCCTAAGTTACCAATCTCCAACCATACTAGCCTTCCATCCATTTCCCCAACACACTGAATTCTTCACTCAGTCATCATATGTACTATTCTCTCTGCTTGAAATAATCGCCACACTTTTTGTTACCTCATTAACACCCGTTTGTTATTGAGAATTCAGTGTGTTCTTTGAGACATTCCTCAACCTTGTGGAGTTAGATACATCCCCCTCATGATCCTTTACATGATCCCCCTTAAGGCAGGAAATGTATCTGTCTTGTTGCCACTTTACCTTCAAGCCCTCATAATGTCCCACCATAATAAGTATTCAATAAATCTTTTCTGAATGAGTGAGTGCTCAATGACTTTTGGAAAGGAAGAAATCTTGGCCCTGTGCTTCTTAGCAGGCTACAGGTTCTGAGGCTGGACAAAGAGAGGGTAGGACTGATCCTCTGGCTCAACCCCGACTCCTTCTCTCCCCTGCATCTACTGATTCTTTTAGAGAAGTCAAATTTGGGGCACAATAACTATTTAAGAGGCCCTATCTTGAAGTCCTGGGAGAGCTGACAGATCAAGTTCCTTGGATAGGATTGGAAGTCCCTAGAAGCTCCTACCCATAGGACACCCTTAAACCAGTCCCATCTTCCAAGCCTCAAAATTATCCCTTCCTCAGACTCAAACTAGGAGGAGGTGTTAGGAAGGAGTTCTGGGGTCCTGGGGTCCCAACCTTTCTCCTCCTCTTCTGTCTCCTCCCATCTGAAACTGAGTTGGGAAGGAATTGAGGCAGATTCTGAGAGACTTTGGGAGTATGAATCCAAAAAGGAAAGGGGAGGCTGGGGTTAAAGCTGAAGGCAAAGCTGCTTAAGGAGGTCTAACCCTAACAGGATTTATGGCTGGAGTGGGGAGGGGAGATGTGGGATTGTATTAGCATGTGACTGGGTGTGGGTACACATGTTCCGTAGGCAAGAGGCCATGAGCAATTGAGAAGGAGCCAGAGCCTGGGACACAGGCACACGAAGCCCCTCCCTTCAGAGAAGGTGGGAGGCAGAGAAGCCTTCTCAGAAGTAGTGTCCTTGTTTAAAGGAGAGTGGCCTTGAGTTTGTCAACTTAATGGGGTCTTTCCAGGAAGAGTATCTGGGGGTTTCAGGAAACCCCCTGAGCCAGCCTCTTCCTCCCCAGGCTGTGCCTTCCTCACCTACTGCGCCCGGGACTCTGCTCTCAAGGCCCAGAGTGCACTGCACGAGCAGAAGACCCTGCCAGGGGTAAGTCCACCAGGGTTGGTGGGGGGGGTGGAAATCACCTCAGGCTGGGGACATAGGCCCTATGTGCATGCCAAAGCAGCATATAGGGGCTGGGCTGGGACCAGGAACTAGAAGAAGAGTCATCTTTCCAGGAGAGGACTTACCTGTACCCTTAACAGCTACAGGTTATGTGTTATGTTCAGTCTTCTGGTCCAAAGAAACGGGCTCAAGACTCTTGGGCTAAGTGTACCACGCCCATAGCTAGGGAAGGCATTACTGTTGTGAGCTATGCTAGAGTTTGTCCATGTTGGCTAAAATCATGATTTTTAGGTGTCATTTGTCACTGGTGTGAGCATATATGCAGATACATGGAGGAGAGGCCCTGCTGTTCTGGAATCCCACTTCCTCCAGTTCTAGGGTCCTTGGTGCACTTCCCTCTGGTCCTCTTCCTGTAATGCTTTTTGGGGTGTCTTGACTCACCAAGATTGCTTTCCCTCCACACCCCAAACACACAGCTAAAGTTAAGAGAGATCTGATTCCACAGGCAGCTAGGCTACTGTGTATCAGTGGCACTTGATATGGCCTTGGCTAATTGCTAATCACTGGACAAAAGGCAAAGTGGGACCTACTGTGGAAGGAAGAAAGTGGTGATTGTTAGGAACTAGTGTGGGTTCACCAAGAGCAAGTCATACTACACAGCCTCATTCTTTCTTGTCCAAGGAGTGATAATGTCTAGAACAAGAATGCTATTCAAATGTCCCAGGCAGGCCAAACATGGGACACATATCCACTTCCAGGCCTCAGATTTAAGAGGGTCACTAGCCTACCATAAAGAGACTAGGATGGGATGGGAACATAAAATATATCATGGAATGATAATTTGAAGAATTGGGGATATTTAGCTGGAGAAAATAGGGTTTAGTGGGGGGCTGCAATAGGGAGGCATCATAACATAATAATTAAGGATACTAGTTTTTTGAGACTCACAGACTGGATCTGAATCCCAGCTCTGCCATTTACCACTTCTGTGTCTTCAGATACATTACTAGAAAATGTCCTCATCTATAAGGAGTAGGTTATACTAACACTTAGCTCTCTGGGCTATTGTGAGGATTAACCGAGGCTTAGCAAGTGCCTGGCACAGAGTAAGATCTTGATACATATTACTGTTGGGGTGGGTAACCGCTTTCACATCCTGAAGAGGGATTTGGTTTCCTATGGGTGGCCTCACAGAGCAGTGGGGTATAAAGAACAGATGCGCTAATTTCAGCTCTGTGTAAAGAAGTCATTTCTCTGAATTGGAGCTCTCCAGCAATAAGGCAGGCTTTACTTAGAGCTGATCAGGCTGTCATTGGGGTGTCAGATCCTAGAACCAATCCTTGTAATTGAAGGAACTTGAGCCTCGCTCTTGAAGACTCAGTGTCAAGTTAACACTAACTTATCACCCTCGCCAATCCTCTGTATGCAGGCTCTGGAGTCAGACAGACCTGGGTGTCGATCCAGGCCCCACCACTCACTGACTCTATGACCTTGAGCAAGTCTTTACCTCTCTAAGCCTAAGCTTCCTCATCTGTGAAATTGAACTTGTAGGGTTGTTATAATAATTAAATGAACGAAGTCATGTAAAGTGCTTAACACAGATCTTGGCAGACAATCAGTACTCAATACAGGTTAGCTGGTGGTGGTAGTAGTAGTAGTAACAGCAGCATTACTAGGAGTAATAGTAGAAGTCATTACTCATCCAACCTTGGGAGTAAATGACTTCTGTCACTAGAACTGAGTCAATGATACGAACAGTAACACTCCACGTGGGAAACATCATGGTAAAGGTGCAGAGACAAGAGGAACAGATGGGTGTGAAATGAGGCTGGGAGTGTAGAGGAGGGGGCCCTCATGTGAGCAGGGGCCAGACCAGAAAGAAGATCCACAGAGGGCAGTGGCTGAAGAGGAAACTTTGAACTCCAGGCCGAGGGGTTTGGACTTTATCCTGAAAGCAAATGAAAGGCACTGAAAAAATTAAGATGAACTTTGGGAGAACAAATCCCCTCCTTAGGGACTTCCTTGGTGGTCCAGTGGTAAAGAATCCGTCTGTAATGCAGGGGATGCCAGTTCAATCCCTGGTCGGGGAACTAAGATCCCACATGCCGCGGGGCAACTAAGCCTGCACGCCACAGCTAGAAAGAAGCCCGTGCACCAGAACGAAGAGCCTGTGCACTGCAACGAAAGACCCCGTGTGCCGCAACTAAGACCTGATGCAGCCAATAAACGTTAAAAAAAAAAAAAAAATCCCCTCCTCAACCAGCCACAGGGCTCCACAAGAGACGGGGTACCTGGGGTACTCTATGAGGCTGAGGGCACCTGAGATAAGAACAGTGAAGCCCTATACTACTGGGACAATTTCTGGGAGAAAAAAGAGAAATAATAATAACTAACATATATTGATACCAGACAGTGTTCCTAGCACTTTACAGGTTCAAATTCATTTAATCCTCTATGAAGAAGGTATTGTTATTGGCATTCCCATTTTACAGGTGAGGAAACTGAGTCATAGAAAACAAGTGACTTGCCCAAGGTCATGTAGCTCCTAATGGGAAGATGTGGGCTTTGAATGCAAGTAGTCTGGCTCCAGAACTCATTCACTTAACCACTGCACTGTTACCTGAGCCAAGCTGGTGGCAGATAGGGGTCTAAAGTTCTGGAGGGGATGGTGACTGGGTACATCTGCCCCCTCTCACCCTTTCATCTACAGGCTTCCAACATGGCCTGACTTCCTCTTGTACTGCCAGGATTGGCTTGTTCACCCTCCTCAGCTTAACAAAGTGAAAATTAATATTTAATTATTCTCCTAAATGAAAATCGATGGCCCTGTTGGCCAGCCCCAACAATGGCCGAGTCATCAATCTTTCCTCTGGGCCTGCCAGGGGCAGCAGTAGCTTTAGTCACCTGGCCTCAGGCCCACCAGCATGGAGAGGAGGGTGCCCAGCTCTCTGTAGGCACTGGGTCCTGGGCACACCTGCCATCTGCTGGAGAAGCAGGGACAACACTTCAATCTGGACTCTGACTGGAGGCAGGCAGGACTGTCGCTGTGGGACTAGGAAAGGCTGTGTCAAACCTAAAGAGAAAGCCTGAACCGCTAGGAGAAATGTCATGTTATCTGCTGGACTGGGACCTCCCGTCGGCCCCCCTCCACGAGCTCCCTGCTAATTTCTGTCACCTATCAAAGCTTGACTCCCTACTCAGGACTTCCTGCAAACCTCAGTGGTCTGTCCCATCTTCTACAGCTTCTTCCCCATGAAGCTAGAGTTACTTCTTTCAGCCTCACTTTAGGCTCCAGAATCCACCTGAAGAAAGTGAGGCCCAACCTCAGCCCCACCCTCTGGGATTCAGAAGGTTCCCTCCTGCCCCTGCACTTGTCTCCCTCCATGTTCATGCTCTCCTTTCCCCTGGGCATCCATCCCTTCAAACACCATGAAGGAGACAGACATAACTGAGTACATTTGCTTTTGCAGGCCGTGCCCTGCACAAAACAGCTTGAGGGGAAAAGGCAAACAGGGCCTGAAATCCAGCCATGCTCTATTGACCAAGCCATGCACATTATCACAGGACTGTGTCAGCCCAGAGGAAGGGGGACATTTTTCCTAATTTGCCCACAGGGTTGCCTCTATGTAACTCACACAAAGGCACTGTATGTGCTAGCAGCTGCCCAGTGCATGAGCTGGCGCCTTTGCCCTCAAGGAGCTTCCAGCCCAGAAATAACTTGTTGCACCTAAATGGGGTTTAACCTCTGGGCACGTAGAAGAAGCATCAGGGGTGGAGAAGGAGAAGATGCTTCACAGGCGAGATGCTGTCTGAGCTGAATCATGATCATACTTCATCATGTTTGAAGGCCTAGAAACCTAAAAGACAAAAGTGTCTTCTGGAATTCTGGGGACAGTCAGGGAAAGCGCCCAGCAAAGATGTCTACGGCTCCAAGTGAATGGAGAGTATCATGCATGTTGGGCAGCACGGGAGGCAGGACTAACAGGTTTTGGCTCCCAGTCTTAGGATCTCGGGCTTTACTGGGCGGCTTGCAATGGGGAACTGTGGGTGGATTTTGAGCAGGGAAGAGTGAGGGACTGGTACCGAAAGATCACTTTGGCTACAGCGTGAATGCTGGGGTGGAGAGGATGCAATGCTGGAGGCAGATGACCCTCTGGAAACACTTGCTGAGGGCACGTGAGTGATGATACTGGCCTGGAGCTGGGGTTAGGGTGGGAACTGAGAGGAGAGGATGGACTTGAGAACTATTTAGGAAATCCATATAGATTCTAGAACGAATGGGACTTGGCAGTGGGTTGAATTAGAGGAAGGGGGTGAGGTAGAACAAAGTACTGAAAATGGTGGTTTCCTTTTTATCTGCTCCACTCTTTCCTGCACCCATGACACCTCTCTTAGACCCATCAGTAGTCCCTTCCTTGGGGAGGTTCCAATAAGCATTTTTCCCATGGTGAGGGGAAGGGGCTGAGGGCATGAGTGCTGAGTGGAGGGAAGAGCTGTGATCAGGACAGAAGAGTGTGAAGAGGGCAGTGTGGACCCCAAAGGCAGGAATTTTTGGCAAGTCAAGCAGGGAGAAGGGGTAAGATCTTGCCTTCCCTGCTGCTTACAGGGGCAGAAGGCCTAGGACCCCGTACGTGTCTGTCCTGCCTCTGACCTTCTCCACTCCACTGCTTGGAGTAGGTTGTCCTCTCCTCTTTCTGACATACTCTCCCTTGATTTCCCCTCCAGGGCTGGGCCCTGAAGCAGAAATGTGCCTGGACTTGGGAAAGCCTCAGGGGAATAGGTGCCCAGCCAAGGGCAACAGCTCCCGTGAGGTCCCATGACAAATGCTTGGCCCAGGAAGCAATGCCCTCTTTTCTTCAAAGGGGAACAGTGATTCCTTGACCCCGCTTCCACATCCCTCCCCTGGCTGTGGCAGGAACGAGGCAGGGTAGGGTTGCCCAGGTAGCTCATGTGGGCAGCTCTCTTTCTCCTTTAGCCACACAGAACATACCTAAAAACCGGGTGTCCTCCCTAACCACTTCCCAGTGGAGACTGAAGGCCCAGAGCCTGGGGACCATTCCTCTTCTCAACTCTGTCATCACCATCTTGGGCTCCTCCCCTGAGGACTTCCCCTGCACCTCCTAACTCCCAAATTACCGACTTCCCCAACACCTAAGCCATAAGCCTGAGAGTCAGCCAAAATTCCCTCCTCTCCCTCAGTCCCCACATCCAATAGAACTTTAGTCCAGTTCATTCTTCCTGAACATCCCCTGAATCTGTCCATTTCCTTCTGCCCTAGTCCAGGTCACCCTCACCCTCACCTGTATCACTGATCCTCCTGCCTCTAATCTTTCCCTTTCCAATCCTTTCTCTGCAGAATGACAGCTCACGGCATCCTTCATAAGACAGATCCCTCCCCTACTTAATATCCTTCCCTGGATCCCTATTGCCTTTGAAATACAACAAAGTCAAAGTTCCTTGTCACGGTTTTCACAACCTGCCCTGATCTGGCCCCTGCCTACCCTTCAATTTCATATCCTTCCATTTAAAACCCACACAAACAAAAACAAACAAACGAAAAATTTATTACATCTGGTGCACCTACTAAGATCTTGCCTTTGTCATTTTCACCACACCCCTTCAAGGTGGGATCCGGAGTCCCCTTTTACTAGTGTGGATACTGAGGCTCAGAGACCTTAAGGAAGGTGTCAGTGATGGAGCCAGGATTTAAACCCACGTCTATCTGACTTGGCAGCAATCTGTACTACCCTAGCTCCCTCGGTGTCAGGTGCCCACCAGAAAACCCTTGCTTCTTCAGACTTGCATCTCCCTCTCCGTACCCCAGACACCTGGAGTGTTCAGCCTCCAGCCCCACCTCTCCCACGATCTCCACATGGCCCAAATGACCCCAGTGCTGCAAGACCCAGCTCAAACCCTGCCTCCCCCATGAAACTTTCCCTGAGCCAGCCTCTCCAGCTGGAGTCAGCCTCTCCCACAGCACTTTGCCTTGCACGCCTCCCAAGGTCCTGGTCCCTCTGTGCCTCTTTATTTGTGTTCATGTCTTAAGAATAGAGCTGAGTGACACAATGCAAAAATCATGGACTTCAGTGTCAGGCAGACCTGGAGGCAAATCCCAGCTCAACTTACCCACCATGTGATCTTGGACAAGTGATTTAACCCCCCTCAGCCTCAGCTTTCTCATCTATACTATGGGAACAATGGCACTATCTTGCAGAGTGGTCGGAAGGAATTTAGAGACAATGTATGTAAAGTGCCCCAGGAAGGGCCTGGCACATAGTGGGCTCTCTGGAAATGGTGGCATTATCTTCCCCTCTTATACGCCTTTGAGGACAGTGTCCTAGGGTCATTGCTGTCTCCCCTGAAGGGCCCAGCCCAGGGCTCTTCACAGAGTTCTGGACATACTGGCAACATGCCTGAGTGGTGGAAAGTCTAGGTGCCCAGCCTCTGAGACCTGGACTCTGCCAGGTCCACGTGGGACATGTATGTACCACCTAATGCCCACTCTCCATCAAACAGTGGTGGAGAGGGGGAGGGGGAAAAGGGACATCCTCCAGAGCACCGATGAGCTCCACCTCCCCAGAAACCCAGCCGGGGAGGCAGCCGCCATGGAAACCACTGCTGTTACATGTGCTCGTCACTCTAGGCTCCAGTGAGAAATTCGTAGGATCTATTTAAGAACTAATAAAATAAGGATGGTCTTGCTCACCCTCACTGCCCCCCACCCCAGGCTTCTACCCTTCTGCCACACTCCTCCCTACCTTTCCTGCACCCCCCCTTCCTGACCCTTTATCCCCTCATTTCCTTCCCATCTCCCCCAGTATTTCTCTCTTTCCTTGCCCTGTGTCGGTCTGTCTTATTCTCTCATCATTTCTGTCTTCCTATGTCTCTTCATCTCTCCCTGTGTCTCTGCTCTCCATGGCTGTGTCTTTTTTTTTTTTTTTTTTTTTCTGTTCGTGGGCCTCTCACTGTCGTGGCCTCTCCCGTTGCGGAGCACAGGCTCCGGACGCGCAGCCTCAGCGGCCATGGCTCACGGGCCCAGCCACTCGGCGGCATGTGGGATCTTCCCGGACCGGGGCACAAATCCGTGTCCCCTGCATCAGCAGGCACAGTCTCAACCACTGCGCCACCAGGGAAGCCCGGCTCTGTCTCTTGGTCTCTCCTCCACAGTCACAGGTGGCCATGCCCAGGGATGGGTCCTGTCCTCCTGGTCCCTGGTGCAGGCCATCCAGACCTGTCCAGCTCGCCCTGATCTCCTTGGATTGATCTGTCACCCCTCTAGACTGCACCCCGAGTCCTGTCGGTGTCTCGGCCCTCACCCACAGCCTGGTACACTGCAGGTGCTCCACCACCAGCGGGTGGGTGTGTAAGAGCGCATAAGAACCTGAGCCCTGGGTGGGAGGGGGATTGCTCTGGTTCAGGCTTGGCCTGTTTTCCTTTCCTTTCCTTTTTTTTTTTAAGCCCTCCCCCCACCCCTCCCCCAAATTTGATCCAAAGGAAATTGCTCAACTGTGACTGCCAGGGCGTTACTATGGTTACTAGGTAGCACTTGTGGCTATGGTAACAGGAAGCTGCCTGTTGTCTCGGCAACGAGCACACTGGTAGGGGATGGAGTGGCCCCTGATTGGTGCAGAAGCATTGCATTTCCTGAGGGGAGGGGGTCAGATCATCACCTTCTCAGGCCAGATGGCCATCAGTACCCCTTCCTCCATGAACAGGAAGGCTGCTCTTCTTTCCTTCCGGCACTCAGCTGTCTGCCCCCCCAACAATAATTCCTCACATCCTACGCATCCAGCTCTTGGCTGTTTACAAAGACCTTTTGCGTCCCCATTATGTCATGTGATCCCCACAACACCCATGAGAGGAAGGTGAGATGGGGATTCAATCGTGAATTCTCTCAGGGTGGTTGGGGGAGGGGAGTGGGTGGGGTATATATGGAAATCACCTAGGAGCCTTTACAAATTATACAATCCCCCAACTTAAGAGTCTGATATGGTTCCCAGGTGATTCTTATCTACCCCTGATCAGGGAACCCCTGAATTAGAAGGTGAAATTGGTTGGTGGGGGAGGGTATGGAGGGAGGAGTCAAGCTGCTTTCCAGGTTTATAGCCTGGATGACTGGATCAGGTTTGGGCAAAAAGATGAGCTCTGGTTTGGGTGTGTTGAGTGGAAGGTGCCAGTGGACTTTCTAGGCGGGGTGTCCGGCAAGAAGCTGGGCACATGGGTCTGAAGCTCAGGAGGGAGGTAAAGGCTGGAGACGCAGAGCTCTGAGTCATCACTGTGGGGACAGGAGCTGAGGCTGTGGGTGTGGATGAGATTAGCCAGGAAAAAAGGGAAGAGTGGGATGAGTAGGGCCAAGGATGCTGCCCTGGAGAACTCCAGCATCCTCAGGGGAAGGGGTCCCAGGGAGGGGACTGAGAGGGTGAGGGTAGAAACTATGATGACATAGAAGCTTGGGGAAGGTTTTTCTCATTTGACAAGTTGAATCTGAGAGAGGATGGCTTACTCGAAGTCATACAACCATTAAATGGCAGAGTTGGGGGTAGATGGCCCTAAATCTGATTCCCAGATTATTTAATCTAAGTGACACATAGAAGTATATTCTCAGTTTTAGACACAGAACACACATCTGCCCTACTACCCAATTCCTCGCACCCAAAGCCTTCAAGGAAGTCCAGGAGCCAGAGGGACAGGCCGCACTTGGTCCCTACACAGAGCCAAGGCAGGAGAATCTTTTTGACCTCCACAGTCCCTCCTCTGCTTGCCCCTGAGCTTCCTATCGCCTAATCCTTCAGGCTTCAGCACCTTCTAAATTCCTGCCTTTAAGGGATGAATCTTGGAGAAAATCTATAATCCCTGTGTGACAGTGGTGGGGTGTAGAGTTCAAAAGGGTGAGGGATTAGATCCTGAGGAGTCCAGGGGTGGAGAAGCCGGGGCAGGGCCAGGCAGTCACGCTGACTGGGTGTGTTGGTCCGATGTCTTTCAGATGAATCGTCCCATCCAAGTGAAGCCGGCTGCCAGTGAGGGCCGAGGAGGTAACTTGCCTGCCTGCCGAATCTCAGGGTATCATCCATGTCGGGGATGGTGGGCCCACTTCTGGAGTCAGGCCTACCTAGGGTTTATTACTAGAGCCTCCCTGGGTAAGGGGGGCAACTAGGGAGGGACCAGATTATTTAGCACCAGACAGCTCAGCCATCCCAGGTCAGACTGAAGAGGGATGGGGTCCCAGCATCCCCAGACCCAGAAGAGGCAGGAGATAGAGGCTGGACATAGAGGAAGGGAGTTCTTGCTACCTTGCCCCTGGAGAGAGTTCATTCCTGTTTTAACAGGTGGAACTTCCAGGTTTGTTTGAAGAACCAGGTTAGAGTTATTCTCCTTTTCCAGATCTTCTGATTACAGAGAACTCAGTCCAGTCTGGGCTGGAGCCATTCATTCCTTCATTTCAGTTGCCTTGGGAAAAAGATGAGGCTCATAAGACAGATTTTGTAGGCTATATTAAGGAACTGAACTCTATGCTGAGGACCATGGAAAGTCTTCAAAAGTTTTTTTTTTTAGCTGCACTGTTTCCTAGTGCAGAAAGACTAATGCTCCTTAAGAACAGGAGGGTTTGAGAGCCTGTGCTTTTTTTTTTAATCTTTATTAGAGTATAATTGCTATACAATATTGTGTTAGTTTCTGCTGTACAACAAAGTGAATCAGTTATATGTATACCTATATCCCCACATCCCCTCCCTCTTGCGTCTCCCTCCCACCCTCCCTATCCCACCCTTCTAGGTGGTCACAAAGCACCGAGCTGATCTCCCTGTGCTATGCGGCTGCTTCCCACTAGCTATCAGTTTTACATTTGGTAGTGTATATATGTCCATGCCACTCTCTCACTTTGTCCCAGCTTACCCTTCCCCCTCCCCATGTCCTCAGTCAATTCTCTACGTCTGCGTCTTTATTCCTGCCCTGCCACTAGGTTCATCAGTACAATTTTTTTAGATTCCATATATATGCGTTAGCATACGGTATTTATTTTTCTCTTTCTGACTTACTTCACTCTGTATGACAGACTCTAGGTCCATCCGAGCCTGTGCTTTTTGACAACCAGCTGAGTTCTGGCCGGCTTCCATACTGGAAAAGCAATACTAGCTTCTGGTGTCAGTTCTTGGTGTCTTTCTTGCCCTTGGGTGTTAAATCATTCCAAGAAATCTGCCTGGAGCCCTCCCTGACATTTGCGGACTCCCTCTTAAATAAGACTTTCTCCTGAGGGAGACGCAAGAGGGAAGAGATATGGGAACATATGTATATGTATAACTGATTCACTTTGTTATAAAGCAGAAACTAACACACCATTGTAAAGCAATTATACCCCAATAAAGATGTTAAAAAAAAAAAAAAGACTTTCTCCCCACCTTAGGGAGGTCAGCCATGGCTTTTTATTAGGTAAAAGAAGCTGCCCAAGATGAGGGAGAGAATGGAACCCAATTGACAGACATTTATTGACTCCTAATAATTCTGCACATCCTCTCAGACTTCAGGCTCAGTGTCCACACCTACAAGGGACTCTAGTAGCTTCATAGCTCCATTGTGGAGTTCTTTCCTCCAAGAAATCCATTCTTCCTCCTTATAGATTTTCTGATTTTGGTCTTTGATTCTCCACTTCTGGTCAAGATGTTATCATCCCACTTTGTCTTAAGGAGATATTTCCAAGCTTCCTCCCTCTCCTCCAAACACAAATCCTCCTTTTCCATCTCATTCTTTCCAGACTGGTTTTTGAGAAGTTCCAGGCTGCATACCAAACCTCTGGTTCACTTGTCCCAAGAATTTCTGCTTCTTGGGAAACTGTTAGGCATCAGGGCCAATGTTGGCCAACTTCTCAGCCCTGCCCATGAACACTAGACAGCTGAGAGGTCACCTGAGAGTACTTGAGTGAGCTAAGAAGCAGACAGATTGGGCTGTAGTTTGTTCAACCATCCAACCAATATCTTTTGAGTAACTTAATCCACATTAGGAATGCAAGGCAGACCTGGCACCTGGCCTCATGGAGCTCTGGAGCTATAAGGGGATATAAACAGTAAAACAAACCTATCATCCAGTGTGATCAATGCTTTTCAAGTCCTGGGGGATTGAAAAGCATTGGGGAAAACATGGGGCACCTTAGTCTGGGAGGTCAAGGTGGGCTCCCAGAGGTGGTAATATTTAAGCTGAGATCTCAAGAATGAACAAGAAGTAGTCAAACAGAAAAAGGAGGAGCAAGGGAGCAAGTATTTCAGGTGGAGTGAAGAGCATGTACAGAGCTCAGAAGAACATAATGCAACTTGGAGTCTGGTTCAGGAACTAAATCCAGGATGCTGGGGGCACACTTGCTGCTTGGAGTCCAACACCTCTTGCCAGGGTGAGGGCCACTGCCCAAAGGAGGCCTCCACGCTGATTATGCTTCTGCTTAGTCTAGTCCAGATGTCTTGGTCATCTGGGCTCCCAGCAGTGGCATCAGCATGAGTTTTATCATTTGCCTCCCCGTTTTTGTACTGGTTTTTCAGGTGTAATATCATTGACATATTCTGTACATATGGCATTTCACCTCTACACCTGTTCAGATTCCGAGCAGCTCAAGAGAGCAGGAAAAGAAAATCTAGCTGAAAAGAGCTCTGCCTGGCAGTAGAATTCATAATTTTAGTAGTTATGTATAACATAGCTATTTCTTGACAAGTGATGGCTTTTTTCTTTCTTAACATCTTTATTGGAGTATAATTGCTTTACATTGCTTAAGTGATGGCTTTTAAAGAGCATATACTCCAAAGGCATCTGTGGATAATCCTTCTTGCAGTTTTGGATGACCAGATCTCTCAATTCTTTCGTGTTCCCACTCAAAATCACCAAATGTTCCCTGATACACATTTGGGAGACAGGAGGCATATGTACTAAGTCTTGCAAAACAGCTGGGTCTTTACAATTTACAAGTATTTTACTACCAACTGATCTGTGTTAGATACTAATCAAAAGGTGTTTCTTCTCTTCAGTGCTATTATATATCTCTTCAAAAGTGAGTTCAGGGATTCCCTGGTGGCGCAGTGGTTGAGAGTCCGCCTGCTGGTGCAGGGGACACGGGTTTGTGACCTGGTCCGGGAAGATCCCACATGCCACAGAGCAGCTGGGCCCGTGAGCCATGGCTGCTGAGCCTGCGCGTCCAGAGCGTGTGCTCCGCAATGGGAGAGGCCACAACAGTGAGAGGCCCGTGTACAGCAAAAAAAAAAAAAAAAAAAGTGAGTTCAGCTCTCTGCTGAATTGTAACACAAATTAATGCTTTAGAAACTCAACTTTTAAAATGGTATTGAATTTGGTTTTGAAATGTAACATTTGACACCAATGTAGGACAGCTTGTCTCATTCAAGTCTTATCTCTGTTATCCCAAACATTCTATAAACCTTCAGAGTTAATGGTCACACCTGCCCTGATACAGTTAAGCCTTTGAGCTTGCATATTTTAAAATTATTCCTGAAATTAAATCCTTTATTTACGGTTGATTAATAATGATTTTTACATCTGACAAAAATACTGGTATCAATGCAGACATAATCAAGGGGGTATCAAGGCAAACGTAATCTTCCAAAATTTTGCCATTTTTTTTCCGGAAGGGATTATTAGATTTTTCTTCCCATAAAACAGGGATCACTACTCAAATGCTATAGGAGCCAGGTAAGGAACCCTAAATGGGTGAGACTGTCATGACATAATGAAAGTTTCTGTTTTAATTATATTAAATTATATTAAATGTTGGCAACTAATTCAATTTTTAAAAGTGGGCCCGCATTGTGACAGCCTAACTAAACCTATCAGGTTTGCTTCTTCGGTCCAAAGACTGCCATTTTCTTTCCCATCTGCCATACAGGAGTATTCTATTACGTACACATGCATGAGCTTTTTGACAAAAATAGTTACTTTACATTCTATCTCTTGAATTTTCATGCCAATGCAACAGAGTAGTATTACTCTTATTTTTAATCACTAGACATGAGGTTTGTGGTTGAAATGACCTATATTTTATTTTCTTATAACTTCTATTATAGGTCTGTTTTATTTTCACTTCCAGCCAATGTTGTAGAAATCAAAGTGTTAGCACAGCAGGGGAGAGCCTGAATAGAAGTAAAATTGTTTTCATTGAAAAAAAATGTTTAAAGCAAATTTATAAAAATATTTTTCATAACACCTTGGAAAGATACAGAGACATCCTGTCTTCTTCCCGCTATAACATTACCTACAACATCATTGTTCTTAAAACCACCCATTTGTTCCTAGGAGGAGACCAAACGGCTCCTCCTAAATCTGAAAGATCATAAGACTCTCTGTATAACCATGCTCTACAGGTCACAGACAGTCTCATGAACTTGATTCCCCCCACCAAGCTTCTAGAATAGGTAGGGCAGGAAGAACTATTTCCTCCAAGCTTCCAAATAAGGAAACAGAGGCTCTGAGGGCAAAGCCATCTCTGACTTGCCCCGTCTGACTTGGAGTCCCCTCATAGGCACTTCGAAATAACCTATATTTTAAACACACTGTATGTTGCATTACTTTTAGAAGTTACTGGTAACACTTGCACATTCAATGCTTACAATGCAATAATAGTAGCAACACAAGATCTGCCCGATAGAAGGTCTGGGGCCCTCTTCTTTCATGGTCATCCCCTGCAGCCTTGGTGGCACTCAGAGTGCATCCAAGTCTTCATGGACTATATTATAGTAGCCTGTTAATGTATGCCAGCCCTGTGTGTATGTTTATACATATATATTTATACATATGTTTAATGTATCCCAGTTCCCATAAATTCTGCAGTCAAGTCCCACACTCTTCATATACTCCATGCTCTGTGCCTATATTTTACATCCTGTGGCATTGAACAGTACACTTTTTTATTTTTTCAATAAATTTATTTACTTTTGGCTGTGTTGTGTCTTCGTTGCTGAGCACGGGCTTTCTCTAGTCATGGCGAGTGGGGGCTACTCTTCGTTGCAGTGCACGGGCTTCTCATTGCGGTGGCTTCTCTTGTTGCGGA